TGGATTAAATTTGAGTTGTTTAAAATCTTGGTGTATATACCAATCACCTCTAGTTATGTATATCTTCACTTTACGGTGTTTGTAAAGACTTCACCAAAGGACGCGATAGGAATATAGTTCATAATACTTTGAATAAAATCTGACCTGTATTTAGTCCAATGGGAAGCAATGAATGAAACAAATGGTGCATCCTGGGATAGATTTTTTAAATTAAAAGGAGGTACTAATTTCCATTTTTTGGAATCCATTCTAATATAACTTGTAGGTAATTCTGAATTTTCATCATAAGTTGCGTGGATATCAAACATGCGAGCTTTATCGTAACATTCTGGACAATGAGTCTTAGGTTCTAAAGTATACTGTATGAACTTTTGTCCTTTCCGTGCTTTCTTTTTTGGTAGGCCTGGTTGATTAACACAAAAAAGAGCATCAGCACTTTTAAGATCTCTAAACGTTAAACGTTTTATTTCCTTTGCTTTCCAAATACATGGTATCTCGCAATTTGCTAAGGTTCCGTCTGGATTAAATTTGAGTTGTTTAAAATCTTGGTGTATATACCAATCACCTCTAGTTATGTATATCTTCACTTTACGGTCCTTATTAAAATAGTTTGTTATATAATGTCTTTTTTTCCATTCTATAAAGTTGGTAGGCTTGATCTCAAGCTGACTTATTAAGTTTGCCGTATGATCAATCCGATTAATCTTAATAGGTTCATTAACAATTAATTTTATTGTTACATACAATAAGAGACTGAATACTTGTATTATGCAAAAAATATATACTAGTTGTTTCGAGCATGGCATTTTTTGTTATAAATGTATGAACGAAATAAATTGTAAAAATATATTGAGAGTAATAAGATTATCGTTTACAGGCATATTTAATGTTGAATTCAAAGCTTGTACATATTTATTTTCGGTTGTTTTGTTCGAGAAAAACAGAAATAAATTCATTCATTCTAATTGACAAAACATAGGTATGCAATTTTGTTGGTGTAAAGTATGCGCCAGAAACGAAATACAAAGATGCATCTCTATTGGTGTTACGTATAGGATTATTAGTAAACAAAATTGTTGATTTGAGTGTGTGAGAGTGAAAACTTGTAACCAATCATAGTAAAGAATTAAATCTATTTCCAGGTTTCCACTCTCACGCGCTCATTTCTTCAATCATTCTCGTAATACCAATGGGTTTTTTATTTGTTGTTGGTCGGATTTTAATTATTCCGTTTACTATTTTGTATTAATTTAGATGTGGCTTGGTCTAAGTATATCCGTTGTACTGTTCTTTACAAAAATCTGATAATTTCGAGATATGCAATTATTTGCAAATAATAAGCAATATATAGTGCATTATTAGT